ATTTTCAAGTATTTTCACTCAAGATTACTCTCTCCTATAGCTGTGCCATAATAGTTCTGAGGGGAGAGGGACTTGAACAGGGAATTGGCCAGTATAATAAATGCTCCTTTGTCTTAGCAAATTTTCACTGATGGGTCTGACACTGCAAAAAGTGGCATGTTTTTCAAAGCCTGCTGAATTTACCCGGCAGCTTGAGGGTGCTTTGCACACAGAAACACTAATCTGTATGTCTTTGCAACATAGAGACATATCACCTCACACGCAGGTAATTGCATATTGCTTTAATGACTGTACAGAAGGTATGATATTAATGAAAACCACAGGGAGATAATTCAAACTAGATGGTACCTGTCATGATGTGATTTATGCTGGGGCAGTGAAGAACCTCAGTACACAGAAATATCTGGAAGGTGGTTTGTCCTGGCCGTGGTGGGTAATCAGGAAGGAAGAACATTACACTAGGCTCGTGCAGATGTGTTCTTCCTCATCTTCTGAATCTCTTGTGGCTGGCATTGGGGTTAGGTTTGGGAGAGGAGGCAGAACTTTTCAATCCTCATGCTGGCAAACCTGTGCATGGCCTAGACAGTAGCTGGCTCTGAAGAACACCAAAATCCCTCGTTAAAGGTGTGAGTGGAGCAGCCTGCTTGCTTAACTTGTCATCACTCTTCCATGCTTTAATCCACAATTTGATTTAGGAGATTTTATGTCTGCAAGAAGGAGAAAGGGTAACTAAGTTTAAAACAGTGAGGAGGGATGTCAGGGCACCCTATGGAGGTGGAGAACACAGATCCGGGATGCCGTTACAGTACTGATACCGTGTTTTTCAACTTTTGACTTCTTACCAACTTATTTTATCTTACTGGGAAGGAGGGAACTCTACAAGCAAACAAAGTCACCCAGGAAGAAAGTGAGGGTTTATTGGAAATAACATCAAAAGACTTACTATCAATTAGGAAGTTTAAAATTTGGTTCTGTAATGGACTGAGTCACCATTTACTATGCTTGAAGTGGGAGGTAAATTACAGGAATCACAAATGTCTAAACAGGTCTGGTCATTGTGGGTTGATCTGTGTTATTACCAATTCTCTTTTGCTTTGAACATTATCAACAGTGTAAAAAGTAGATGACCTGTTCCAATAACTGTGCAGGCCAAGCCATAGTTATCGTTGTAAACCGCCCAGGCTGATAAACTATGTAGAAAAGAGCCCTCTGTTCTCTTTTAGCCATTAGCTTAGGAAGTGTCCGCTATCTGCACGCTGTCACTGTTTCTCCACCAAGGCTGTGCCACTAATATATGGTGTTTCATTGTCAGCATCAGTGCACGTTCATTTAGGCTTTCTTCAAGCAAGTTCTTCGAGCAGCAGGAGGCAGGTGGGGTCTTGCTTAGCCCAGGGTCATTTCAGAGATTTAGTAGTTCCATGTTTCTTACAGCAATACCTGCCTTACATTGGAAATTATGGGTCCAGGATTGGCTAGCCAGGAGAAGGAAGGCTGGTACACTGTGTCTGCAGTTCCTGACATCATCTACGGTGTCTTTATATTCTGGGACTTCATTACTCATTCTGCTTGCTTTCCAAACTCTTTTACACATGTGGTTTTTTGGTTAAGCAGAACATCTATCTAAATTAAAAAAAAAAAAGGAAGAAAGAAAAAAAGAAAAACAAAACCTGTCCTTAAAGAATCATATTAAATCATTAACATGAGAAATGTCTTCATGTGTTTCTAGGCATGTCACAGAAATTACTGGGATGAATGGATTCCATGGCAGATTTTCTATAACTCTCTGCATCCTTGTGAAATATTTGTTGTCTCTATGTTTGATGCGTTCTGTCCCATTGCAGGTCAGGAGGGGGGATGAGGCAGCATACTGAAACTTTCAGGGCTTTTAAAGAGAAACTTCTCATGTTTCTCTTATTAAGTGTCAACTGATGTAATTGAGACCAGACTTTTTTCTTGTAACAAGATGTGGAAGTATTAAAGAAAAGTAGTAGATCATGAACGGAGGGAGGAAGAAAGAACACAGGTTGGGAAAGACAGATGTGTTTAATGACAAACACATTTGTCCAAAGGAATTATTTCCACTGGCCAGAAGTCCAATTAAACACATAAAACAGAAATCCAGAAAAACAGATTAACGACCCAGTCATTAGCAAAGTAGGAGGAAAAAGACAAACCCAGCTAATTCTGTACTGATCGTGACAGATGAGCTCACAGCAAATAATTGGGTGACATTCATCAAATGTGAACTAAAAGGAGGCATTAGAGGGCAAAACGTTATCATAATCTCTGGGATTTACAGTGTTGGAGAATTTTCTTATAGGAAAAGGAAAAGTTCATCAAAATAAATTAAGTTGGGCCTTCCAAATTTCATTCTTTACCACAGTGCTTGCCAAAACTTTATTGAAGGCTTGATCATTTTTTGGAATCATTATAACCGTGCATGTAAATCATGCAAAGATGAGGTCCTGGCTGGGAAAAGCTTCACACAACTCCTACCAACAGAATTGTGGGTGGCTTCATATTAACTGGCTCAGAAAGACCACAGAGCACAAAGATTTCTATTTCTAAACCTTTGTCAAGGTGACCTAGTCCAGGTAGAGGACTGAAAGGAAGTTTAGCTAATACATAGTGAGCTTGAAAATTGTTTGAATCCTACCTTTCTACCTTAAAAAACAGAAAAACAAGAAAACAAACAGGAAATCCAAACCAAAAAACCTCCAGGTACCAGTTTGCAGTGGCATAAAACCAAAGAACTATGTAAAATCTTTTGAGTGTGGCAGACTTGGAGTAGATCCTGTCTTGGCACAGAGGGGGAAATGTAATCACCCCTTGATATTTCTGCCGCTGTATTTTCATGTGATTAACTTGAAGATTGTTGGACTATTCCCAATGTTAATTAGTCATCACAGCATTTAGAGAGCATGTAAATATTCATGTCTGCATCTTAAAGATGAGTCTCAGCCCATCAGAAGAGGTGGATTTTGAACCCAGGGTCCTTACCAAGTAGTCACTGGACACATTCAGTCCTATCTGGACTCTGCTACAGATAATGATCTGGTGCTGAAATAATCCGTGGTGTAAAATGAGTTCATGTGGCAGAGTTATATAATTTGAGAATTTGGATCTTCCACTGGAGGTCAGAAATATCACCAAGAGAAGAGAGGATATTTAAATATTCCCTGTGCTATTTAGGTAATATGAACTAAAAGTGTGGGATCCTTTGGGCAATGCTTCTACAACTCATAGAGAGATACAGTTACTGTAAACATGAATTTTTGCCCTTAAGTTGGACTGAGCGTGAATCACCTGTGTAGTCTGTTCTCTCCTCTGAAAATTTGATTTTGATGTGGTAGTATTAGATGGGAAAGATATCCTTCAGAAATAACACTCACAGCCCTTTCGCCGTCCTCACAGCTGGAGAGCAGGACCCAGAAATGCTACTGTGCAGTCCACAATGCACTTTACATGAAGCGAGAGTCAAGTGACTCCTGTTCTCTCCCTTCCTCTGTCACTGGCTTGTTTTGAAACTGTAAGCAAATAGCTTTAGATTTTCATGCCTGTGTTTTCCCTGGACTTTAGCTATATGTTGTCTGTATAGAGTTTGTTTGCTGTGATATGGGTCATTTTTCTGCCTTCTTATGTAGTGTGTGGTATAATGGTGGTTGTTTTTTTTTCTTTTGGGAGCACTAAATGCAGCTGTGATAATATTACAAGTAAAAATGGCAAACAAGCAGAAGGAGAAGTCTTAGTGTAGAAGTCTGTCATATTTCTAAACCTTCCTTTCTTTCCAGTTTTTCAAACTGTCAATAGAAAAGCCTTATCTTGAGTTGATTAGATATCAAATTTCATGATCAGTAATATCGTGTCCTTCAAATGACAGCTTCTCTAGGGAAGAAAGCCACTATCTAGAGGTGATATCATTACTGAGAATATAATTGGTGCTATAGCAATATTCCATGTAAGCTCATTCTGAAATATCACTGTCAGATAAAAGGGAGTATATCTAGGAGAGAATCAAGGACCTTTCTGTTAGCTTTATTGGAAATTTAAGAAGCCAACAAATGACATTCCAAAAAATAGACAAGTGCTTTGTGTATTGTTTTATCTTAAAACCTGCAAGACTGCCAAAACAGCAGAATATAGGAAATTCACCGATGTAAGCCTTGTTGTACCTAGGCCTGAAATGGTGCCAGAAAGAACACCCACAGCAAGAGTAAGTGACTAGTGACAGGCTTAAAATCCCATATTTTACCAATTGTCAGGGCTAGATCTAATTGATGCATGGCATTTATGTGTACCCTTTACAGCTCACTCAGTCCATAAAACCACAGATTTGGATGTCTATCAGTTCTCCCCCCCCACCCCATCCTTGTTCAGAGACAGTATGATTTCAGAGAAACCAGTTTTATAGTGACAAAGAGCATCTAAGAGCTTAGCTCCAGCTTTCCAAGAGCGCATTCATTGCATTTACTGTTTGCATTAAACGGTGCTAGTGTGGATCTCTCCTGTTAGTCACTGTAAAAGATTGTTGGAAGACAACCCTGGCCCCAAGGGACTTATAGTGCAAACAGACAAGGCTGAGAAGCAGCAGAGAAAAGAGGTATTATCTCCTCCTTACAGGAGAGGAACAGAAGCACAGAGACTTTAAATGACTTGCCCAAGTTAGTTGTGCTGGAACCATGTGATGAAACCAGATTTTCTTCTTTCTTCCACTCAAGACCTTAAACTTTATAGCCACTTTTCCCTTTTTTCTGAGATGTTAAAATCATGCTGGATTTGAAGTATGAGACAGAATGGAAAGTTCAATAGCACAACATAAATAAATAATGCTCCAGCCCTCTCAAGTCTGGGATTTCTTTGGAGTTATACAGATGCTTTTAAGGACAGCTGTGCAGGTCATAGAAAAGATATCTGAAAGAAAGGTTGTCAAACCCTCTTAGATGTGTCAGCATAGGGTGTCTTGGAAAGGTCATCACTCACTTTGTTTGGTGTTTCCACAGGTGACAGCTGGTGGAAGAGCAAATTACTATGTGTCATACAGACGGGAGACTTTCGCACAGATTAAATTGCCCAAATACTCTCTTCCTAAGGTGAGTGCACCATTTATGAACACAGACATGTAATATCTTGAATAGCATAGCCTGCACAGTGGTGAAGCACCTCGGTGGGATTCCTCTCTGGGGAGCTCCATTTGTTGTGCTACTTGAATGATCTTTCTTAAATACGGATTTGGGATCTTTACCTCTCCCTGCCTTTGATTAGTGAGTGTTTCAGGAAGAACAATTTCTTTTTTCCTCTGTAAAGAGCTCAGAAAATAGAGCTCAAACCAACTTCTCCTTGACCAATCTTCTGTGAACATCTTCCCCCAGTCCTACTTTGTTCTCTATTAATGATTTCTCTGTAAGCCTGGCCATGACACTGAGGGTCCTGGAGAATGGTTAGGATGCTTAGCACTACTGCAGTCTCCCTACAATGAGAGAAGCAGAGGGTATAGCTGCTCCACAGTCCCCATCCTATGGCTAGATGTTGCCAAGAAGTCATGAAGGTGGAGCTGGCTCCCTAAAAGTTGAGCCTTATTGATGCTTTGGACACACAGAACCACTGTGTGATGCTGCTTAGGAGATGACTGAGATGGCCTGAGATTAACACTGACCGGCAAAGCCGGGAGGGAGCGAAGTTAGTACTTCTCGTACAACTGTGCCTGGATTTACCTTCTTAGGCCTTAGCTTTCTACCAGATCAAAGGGTGTGAGCCCCAGCAAGGAGAATACGTCCCTGGAATTATACTCAAATTCCATAGTGTAGTCATTGCTTGGGATTGTGTAGAACAGACAGGACCAACCTTTCCAGTGTCTTGGCTGGATACAAGTTTCTAGGTAGCCTAATGGGCAGCTGCTCTTTGGAGCCTCAGAATGGCGGTTGAGGCTACTGTCATAGAGTGCTGACAATCAACAGTAACGGCCTTCCCCTTCCTTAAAAATGAAAATTTTGGTGGGATAGTTGTAAGATAGTTGGCTAGATTTGCCCTGTGGGCTGGATCTACCCTTCTGACTACCTGTGGGATATCTGCAGTCTAGCAGATATGGCATATTTGATTTAACTTGTACCTGAAAACTTAATAGTTGTGAGAAATTTGCATCTCAAACTCCCAATGTTGCACCTCAACTTCTTCCCATTTGAGTTGATCACAATCCACAGTGTATTGACACCTGCATAGCACAGATACAGTTTCTTTTGTTTATCATTCCATGGTGGTGGTGTGGGATTCAGAATGTCTGACCACACACCAACTTTTGGAAACCCTGCTGCCATTTTTCAGGAGAAAAACATTTATGCTCCCACCTTATGGATTGGCCTTGAAAGCTGCCCCCCATTAAAAAGACAAGTGGGTAGAGAGAATGACTGCCCTATGATTGTCCTGCTTTATTGATGGATGCTGTCACAGGTTGCTGGCCTTTTGTAAGACAGATTTGTTGGTGGCCCTGGTTTAGAATTGGTGCATAGTATAAAAATCAGGGATAATTTTGTCATTTAAAAATGGAAAGTACTTTCAATCTAGGTGTCATGGCAAAGTCTTCTAGCCATGTAAAGGAGGCTTGTTTATGCTGCTCTTAGTCACTAGAACATTTTTGCTGTACAGTAATAACTATCCTGTCAGCTGTAGATTAATGAACTCTGCTGGAGTTGTACATATGTGAGCCTGGCAATAGGGTAATGCAGTATTTCCACTGCAACTGGTCAAAACAGATCGAAGTCATTGTGTGTTTTGCTTTATTTTCAAACTGGTGGAATAGGTTGGGTATGTACTTAATCTTCAAGGAATGAGAGCTGTTGGACAAGAACAGCTTGTCTTCCTTCGTTGAGGGAAATGGCAAATCTCCCACTGATTATACTCACTGGGACAGAATTAGGCCCTCACATGTTTTTTCTCCCCATCCCATGCTGATAGGCTATGTTAGGTCTATTAGAAATAGCCCCATCTAATCAACCCCAACTTTTCATCTGGATACCTCACACAGAAGATTAAGTTGCCTCCTAGGCAGGAGGGAAATATTGAGCTGATCTTCCCCCAGATATTCTTCCCAAAAATCAGGTCACTCTGTCCTTTGGGAGACTTCCAGAATTATGGTTTCTTGATGCAGAAACAGTGCAAGAAATTAATCAAGGCTCCTTGGCACCCTGGGGAAATTTTAAATAGGTACAAATAGATAAATGAAGTCCCACATAACCACAGTGATTTTGCTTCTAGCTGAACCAGTGTTAGTTTGTTCAACAACGGTGGCAAGGATGAAGTGCTTCAATACTCATCATCACCCTAGAAATCATTTCCATGAACCTGCTTTAAAAGAATACTGAGAAAATGCACTGTCAAATGTCTTTGATATTAAAACTAAATGGGGAAA